GTTACTGGAGTTGTGACCCCGTACTTACGGACAGATTGAGTCACTCTGTAAACTACACCAAGGGCCCTAAATCTCCCAGTAAGACATGTCCTCCAAAACTTTAGAGGCCTCCTCTGAATCATCTCCAATTTTTCTGAAGATCCTTTCTGAGTTGCAGACAGGAGAGCCAGAGAGTGAACCCAGAAGCAACAACTCCAGTGCCAAAACCAGCAGCAGCTGCCAGCTTTCACTTAAGTCCCATTCAGATATGCGGGGATCAGGTTCGGTCTCAGCCTTCAGGCGAGAGGTTCTTGCCCTTGACACACTACCCCAAGAAGGGAGAGCTCCAGAAGAGACCAACCTGGGAGAGAAACTGCCCACCCCGTACAGCTGCTGCTGTCATTGCTTTGCAGATGCACAACCACACCTCACCCATACTCAAACTTTGGCACATCCAAAGCCGAGGGCAAGTCAGGTCGCTCCTGAGCAGCTATGCATTTCATCGGTAAAGACGTTCCAATTTCCTCCAGGTCACAGAGCATAACTGCTTCCAGACATCTCTGTTCCTGCTCTTGCTTCTCAAATCACAACAGCCTCTGGCCGTTTCTAAAGCTGGGCTTTCAACCTCCCCACAGCAGCTTTCTGGAAAACAGCTGCTCCCTGCTAACTCTCCACTGCGACATCCAACCATCAGCCAGGATTTTATCTCTCACAGAACATGGCAAGATGTCATCTCGGTACATCCTATTTTCTCAATCAAAGGCCTTGCTGTAGAAGCCAAAGGTCCTTGTGAAAATCAGAGAAGCTGCACTCCGCGCACGACCACTGCATCAACCGCACTTTGAAGCTCATTAAGAAACTACAGAAAAACAGATCTTGTCAAATGAATCAGCCGTTAACTCCCGTTGGGCTTCTTTACCACACCAAGGTCAAGAGCTTCCCAAATTACGGTGAACCAGGCAAGGAGGGGCCATGTCCCCTGCAGCCGTGTCCCTTACCAGTCCAGCTGCCTGTCCTGGCTGCTCACTGAGGCCAAGGTGACTGGAGCAGGGCAGGGCACCCCCAGCCCCACGCGTGATCTGCTTCCCCCACGTCTGCTGCTTTAGGAATAAGGGCAGGTTCCCCACCCCTGCTTACCGAGGTCTGGCCTCTCTTCAGCAACAGCCCTGGCAGCACGTCCACGCTGGATTCTGCTGCAATGAGACGGTTGGGTCGGTGAGCACATGCTTCTGGGGGGGCTCCGTGAAGCGCTGCCTTAACAGCTGCCCAACACCGGGCACAGCTGTCGCTTCAGCCAACAGGACAAGGGGACCAAAGGACGGTTCCTCTCCTTCCAACTCACCCCGCGGGCAGAGGAAGAGGGGTGCGCCTGTG